ATTATATCCGCTACGACCTCCTGAATGTATTTGCAGCAGACCTATTATTTCCGCATTTTATCCACCCTTTCATCAATCTCAGGTGGTTCGATTGTACTTGTTTAGGCCGTAGGTTGAATGCGTAGGAGCCTTCTACTATAGATTGTGGGCATTTGCATTTGTCGTGTGTCGTACACTGAATACATCTATAGGAGGTGTTATAGTTTGATTGGTGTCGAGTCTGACTCAAGTCTGAACCCTTCCAAGTCTGGTTTGAATCAACCTCGTGAGCTCAATGTGCAAGGTCATTTCAATGTCCCTTGTAGTCCAAATCTTGTTCAATTTTAGTGTCTTCCACACTTAGTAAATTTGAATTTGAGCCCGAGTATATGTTCAAATGATTACTCAAAATCTTTTGAGATCTTGCAAGTTCAATTGAATAGGCATTTTCACTTGGATTTGATTTCCAATTTGATTTGATTTTATTTGGATTTAACTTTTAGAAATCACTTGAGTTTTGTTCTGATTCAGGTCCTGAGTCCATTGTTCTTGTTCGGGTACAAGTTCTTTATAGTCCAAATCAGATCTTCGTGCTAGTTCAAATGTTCAACTTGAGTCCACATCTTTGTTCTCTTAGAGTTTCAAAACAGGTCCGAGTAGAGTAATATTTCACCCGAAATTTCGGCAAGCTCCCGGCGTCTCCCCCGTTTAGGGGAAAACTACGGAAAACTGGGCCTTTCCCACCATGCTAAGAAAAGCGTGTATAGTACGTGCCCTCTTTCGAGGACACCGCGGCCGTGTAAAGTCTTTGTCCCCACCACGCTAAGAAAAGCGTGTATAGGTCTTCTATCGGTACCTATTGCAAGAGAAAAACAGTTGTTTCCCCGCAAGCGGGTACTTATGGGTATCCCGACTTCGTCGTACGCATCGCAATGGGTTCCCTCCTACCACGCTAAGAAAAGCGTGTATAGGTGGTTAGCCGCCTCGTCGCACACGTCGAGGTCAATATTTGGAACCAAAGGTCGCTCGCCTACCTTGTCGTAGGTGTCGCGCCGGTTGTCCCTCCCATCACGCTAAGAAAAGCGTGTATAGGCAGAAGGGCGCAGGAAAAAAAATTCATTTTTTATTTTTTTCTTTGATTTGACCGAAGAAGGCCGTGCAAGGGAGAAATTTATCTATACAGCAAGCGGGCTCCCCTCCCCACTTCCGATCAAAATGTCAGACCTTCCAATCCGGCGGGAAAGAAGGGCGCAGGAAAAGCGAAGTCGAGCAGCTCGAGGGAGGCCGGAGAATGGACGTGAAAGGTAGGAGGAGCTCTCTCTCTCTCTCTCTCTCTCTCTCTCTCTCTCTTTCTCTTTCTCTTTCTCTCTCTCTCTCTCTGTGGAGGTGTCGGCTGGACCGAACGGAGCTAAGGGGAGCGGAACAGAGGGAGCTCGATGGAGGACTTCCGATCCGACAGAAGGGAAAGTCGTCGGGGTGAGTTGAGTCGAACAGCACGAAGGGGTCGAAGAAGGGCTCGGAGAGGGGAGAGCTCGGGAGAATCACGTAGAGAAGAGAGGAGGCCGAAGGCCTCGTTGCCTCGAGCCTTTTAACGACTCAAAACGAGTCGTGCGGCAGTCGTGGGGAGAAATGACGTGAGGTATTGCCTCGACGTGCGACGAGCGGCTCGACGTGGGGAGCAACGTGGGAGAGCAGCGAGCAGGTAAGGATTTGATTTTTCATTTCATTTTTTTTTTTGGTACAGCAGGTCAACAAATGCCCCCCAACAAATGTGGTAGGCGTCTGGAGTGGGCCACGTTTGTTGCATGCTGATTGACCCTATGGATCTCTAAGTATTTGTTCTAGATGTCACACTAGGGTTTTTATTTAGTGGATCTCCAAGAATTTGCTTGGATGTCACACTAGCTCTCTTTCTACTTGGCTCTTTTAGATGTATCCGTAGATGGTTGATATCTTGTTTGTAAATTGATGCTAGTAGAAAGCATAGTCTCAGGATTCTTCTATCATCTGGTTGTATCTTGATGAAATTTTAAATATTTATTTGGGGATCTCGGTATGCAGCGCGATGTCGACTCAAATAAATATTTAAATTGCCCCCAGTCTTTAGGGATATTTGTAGATGTCATCCAGGGTGCTCATTCTGCAGCTTTTGCTAGAGCCCCGAGATTTTGATTCCTTCTGTCATGTGCTTTGTCCTGCGGACTTGGTGAAGGGTTGTCTGATTTGTCTTTGATGACTTGTCAGAATTTTTGTACGCCTTCTGCCCTTTGCTTCTAGCTTTGGCGGGCTTGATGAAGGAGTAGATGTGGTGATCTAAACCCTTAGGTTTGTATTAGGTCGATGGCGAAAAGTCATCGGTCCAGAGCTTTGTTCATAGCGGACTTGTTGATGACGAAATCCACTTAGTTCAGCCTAAGGCTTTTTATGAACTTCGGGATAGTTTTCTTCGGCCCTTTGCTTTGTGCTTTGACGGACTTGTTGAAGAAAAATTCCTTCGATCATCGCTTTGTGCTTTACGGATTTGTTGAAGGATTTGCAGGTTTTGGATTCAGATGATAGTACCGAACGTAGGTAATATCTTGATCCTTAACCACGTGAGAAGACTTTAATCTGATCACTTGAGTTCATCAGATCGGGAGAGCTGGGATTTGACAGCTCTTCGTCCTCTGGTTGCTGAGATGGGGGTTCCTCTACTGCGGCCTTTCTTATGGCTTGTTGAGTAGATGGAGTTGCCAGCGATCCGGCCATATTTGGGCTTGTTGGATCCGACCTCTTACACCCATTCAGGCTTCAGACTCGAGCTATGGGAATTGAGCTCCCCAATGCTGATTTCACTGAAGTTGGTAGATTTGGAGTCATCTTTTGTGGTTATAGATTTTGGAGCCTACAAACATTCAGTGGTTGTTTTAGACTCATCCTTATACTGGAACTTTGATTCTCCAGTCATTTGAGAGAATTTTATAAACTACGATCACTTGAACTGGTCGAGTCAAATCTGCCTTCGTGCTTCCTACAGTCCCTACTGACGGGTTGACGAAGTGGGGGTTCCGCTACTACGGCCTTTCTTATGGCTTGTTGAGTAGACGGAGCTGCCAGCGATCCGGCCATATTTGGGCGTGTTGGATCCGACCTCTTACACCCATTCGAACCTTAAGCTTCAGGCTGTTGAAAGACTTCAAGCTTCTTCGACACAATTTTGTAGGAGTGTGTAGTTTCAAAAGTCTCTTTCTTGACATTTGAGTCTTGGTTTGTTGGAGAAGGTGTCTCTAACTTTCGAAAGATCACCTACATATACTTTTAAAAAGAAGATCTTTGCATTCTTTAGCACAAAAGATATATGAATTGATAATTTTAAATATTTATTCGGGGATCTCGGCACGCAGCACGATGTTGACCCGAATAAATATTTAAAATACCCCGTCTTGCAGGGACATTTTGGAGCAGAATAGAATTGAAACCTTGAGATTTTAATTATTTGTTTGGGGATCTCAGCACGCAGCATGATGTCGACCAGAACAAATATTTAAAATGCCCCCAATCTGATGGAGAATTTTGAAATGTGTTCTCATGATATAAGAGAATTTCAAAACATGAAATGTATATGCTAACAATAATGTATAAAAACATAACACATTAAGCACAATATTTCATGCGTAGTATTTCTTCAGGTATCGGCCATTGATCGGCGGCATGGGCCTCTGACCATTCAGATCGATGGGTTGATAAGCTCCTCCCTGGTATACCTTCTCGATGACGAAAGGTCCTTCCCAGTTGGAAACAAATTTGCAACCGATTTTTCGATGTGGGATGATTGATCTTCTCTGCACCATGATCAATTCCCCTTCTTGAAATGATCGAAGACACACCATTCGATCAAAGAACTTTGTCATTCTTGCTCGGTAGATTTCCAAGTTCTGCTGAGCTTGCAACCTGATTTCATCAAGTGCATCGAGCTCCTCCATTCTTAACCGAGCATTTTGTTCCTGAGTCATCTCATTCTGGATAGCAACTCGAAGGGATGGAAGTTTAACTTCTAATGGCAGTACAGCTTCAACTCCGAATACTAAAGAGTAAGGAGTGGCTTTGGTTGGCGTTTTGTAAGTTGTACGATACGCCCACAGCGCTTCTGCCATCTTCGTATGCCACTCTCTTTTGTTCTTGGAGAGAATCTTTTTTAGCAATTTCACCAACGTTTTGTTGAAGGCTTCAGCTAAGCCATTTGCTCTTGGATAATATATAGATGAATACCGCCAATCGATTTTGTGTCGATCAACGAATTTATAAATTTTTGTACTTTTGAAAGCAGTTATGTTGTCTAAGATTATGCGGTGTGGCACACCAAATCTGTAGACGATATTATGGGTGAAGAAGTTGATTACATGCTCGGATGTAACTTCTCTGAATGGAGCTGCTTCTGCCAATTTAGAAAAATAGTCTGTCGCTGCCAAGACAAAGCGGTGTCCTGCCGATGACGGTGGATCTATTGGCCCAATAACATCAGTACCCCAGCATTCAAATGGCCAGGATGCTATTGTAGGGTGCAGTGGATTTGGCGGTTGATGTATAACATCACCGTGGATCTGACACTCGTGACACCTCTTAGCATGATTGATACAATCTCTGACCATGGTCGGCCAATAGTAGCCCATTCTTTTGATTTTGACTGTCATCTTAGGACCTGATTGGTGCGCTCCACAAAGTCCTTCATGAATTTCTGTCACCACCTTATCAACTTCTCGAGTCCCTAGGCATCTTAGCCACATTTGATCGAAAGCACGCCGATACAATGTGTTGTTGACAAATGCATATCGTAATGCTCTCTTTTTTATTTGAGCAGCTAATGATTTGTCTGTTGGTAGTCTTCCTTCCTTGAAGTAATCAACGAAAGGTTGCCTCCAATCATCTTCTTCCTCGACATCTAGGCAATGCCACCACGACTCTGAAGCTTGACTGGCCTTGCGTCTTTTCTTAGGAACTTGTCATTCTTCAAGTTGATCTTCGTGATCAACTAGTTGGGGAGGTTAAGGCTCAACCGGAGTTGCATCCTGCTGGCTTGAATTTGGTATTCCCTCTACCTGCGGGAATTGTAGTAATGCTGGCTCTAGGATCCGTCGATTATGCATCATAATTATTATAGGCCATTCGTCATCCATATTCGCCATTTCTTTAGCCAATTTGGCAAGGGAATCAGCTTTTCCATTTTGACCTCGGGGAACTTGAGTTAATTTAACAACTGAAATTTGCTTCATAAGCTCAAGAACTCGCCGGTGGTAACAGGCCAACTCGAACTTGGTGATTTTGTAAACTCCCAATACTTGATTTACAACTAGTTGAGAATCATCGAAGATTTGGAGATTTCGAATTTGGACATCGATTGCAATCTTCAATCCTGCTATTAAAGCTTCATATTTAACCTCATTATTGGTCCGAGGTTCAGTCAGACTGAATGAGAATCTCATTATGCCTCCCTCGGGCGCCACGAAAATGAGTCTGATTCCGGCTTGAGCTTTCTCTAAATTTGGAGGCCGAGCACACTTAATCGATGACGCTCCATCAAAGTACATTTCCCATACTCGTAGCATCTCCTCCTCTTTGACATTCATGATCTGCTCGTCTGGTAGATCATCATTGAGTGGTGAATCTGCAGGGATAGGGTGTGCAGCGAGAAAATCCGCCAACACCTGCCCTTTTACTGTCTTTTAAGGGACATATGTGATATCAAACTGCAACAGTATCACTGCCCACCTCGCCAAACGACCTGTCAACGCTGGTCTTGTCATCAAGAACTTCAGCGGATTGATCTTTGATATCAAGGTGATTTTGTGCGATAGCATATAATGGCGGAGCTTCTGAACTGCGAAAATCAGAGCCAATCAATGCTTCCCGATTGGAGAGTAGCGGATTTCTGCTCCTATCAACCTCCGACTGATGTAGTAGAGCGCATTTTCTTTGCCTTCTTCATTATGCTGGGCCAATAGTGCTCCGAGGGACTCTTCTAGTGCTGCCGTGTACAGTATAAGAGGCTTCCCCGGGATTGGGGCTGCGAGAATGGGCGGATTCAACATATATCTTTTGATGTTGTCAAATGCCTCATGACATTCTGCATACCATTTGAAACGAACATCTTTCTTCATTAGTTTTGAAAATGGCTGTCACGTACCCGACAGATTCGATATGAATCTCCGAATGAAAGCCAGTTGTCCTTGTAAAGAACGGAGTTGACGAAGGTTTTTTGGAGGTGGCATCTCCATGATTGCTTTGATCTTGTTGGGGTCGACTTCAATGCCTCGATGTCGAACAACGTACCCTAGGAATTTTCCTGAGGATACCCCAAATGCACACTTGAGAGGGTTCATCTTCAGATCATATTTTCTGATTCTTTCGAACACGATCCTCAAGTCATCAATGTGGTCTTTTCGGTTTGTGCTTTTAATGACCAAGTCATCTACATAGCATTCGACCTTCTGATGAATCAAGTCATCAAATATAAGAGTCATCGCCCGCTGATATGTGGCACCGGCATTTTTCAGGCCAAATGGCATAACTGTGTAGCAGAATATGCCTATAGGCGTTCTGAATGATGTATGTCTTTCATCTTCAGGAGCCATCTTGATTTGATTGTATCCCGACGATCCGTCTATGAAGGAGAACATGTCGTAGTTAGAAGTATTGTCAACTAGAAGTTCTGATACCGGGAGTGGAAAGTCATCTTTCGGGCACGCCTTATTGAGGTCCCTGAAGTCGATGCAGATACGAATCTGGCCATTCTTCTTCTTTACAGGGACGATAAATTACTTGCTCTTCAATCTCCAATCTCATTCTCTTTAGAACTTATTTGATAGGTGCTGCATCAGGCTTGATGGCTAACTTGTGAACTGCCACATCAGGGGATAAGCCCGGCATCTCAGTGTATGCCTAGATAAAGCAATCCTTGAATTTAAAGAAGATCTCTTTTATTTCCTCTGCTTTCTCTTTGAGAAGAACATCACTGGTGAAGGTCGGACAATGATCTTCTCCAATTTGAGAGGGTATATTTGACAAGTGATGGGATTTCTTGAAGGATTCTTCAAGATGTCGACCATCGAGAACATTGTCTGTAGGGGCCATCTTTGGGACCCAATTTTGATGAATTTTTTTTTTAATGGTGGATCTCTAGGGGTACACACTAGATGTCATATCATTATTTGAATATATTTTTTTAGAGATGTTGGTCTCCATAATTATTTTTCTCTTATGCCAGGACCTTTCGGCAGTGGATTCTTGGATATACTTCCAAGTGTCACACTCCAATGCTCATCGTACATATCTTGATTCTTTCTTTGCTCTACCATCATAATAGATGGTTGGCTTTTAGCTCTATCGGGATCTTTCAATGATGGATATTTGGACATAAGGACCAAATCTCACATCCTGATATTCACCGTACACATCTTTATTCTTTCTTTGCTCATCATAACATATGGTAGCATTTAGCTCTATCGAGACCTTTCCGTGATGGATCTTTGGACATAAGGACCAAATGTCACATCCTGATATTCACCGTATAGAACTCAATATAAATTAGCTGCTACTATAGCATATAAGTGACAAGCCAGAGATAGAAAGAGAAACAATCCCCAGTAGAGTCGCCAGAAATCTGTGGGCTCCGAAAATTCGGCCCCGGCCTCCCCGCCACGCGATTTCTTTTTTTTTTCTTCGGCGAGGGAGTTTTAACGAACTAAGTTCCGGGGTAAATTTTGGAAGGCAGATGGGTTTGTAAATAAGACACTACCCAGAGATTTCGCCCTCATTTTGTGAGAACTTTATGATCTGAGTTATGGTTTCCTATAGGCGCAAGCCCCTATAGTTAATTACCCCTCCCGATCACGAGAGAGAACTTTCGATTAAGGCTAGTCATCGATCAGATACATATAGAATACGTGTTATCTGGCATATAGTATCAGCAATGGATTTAGGTATTAGAAATTGGGTTTTGATTTGGGTATTTGAGAACTGGATTTGGATTTGGGAATTTGGAAAGTTTAATATTTAAAATAGAAATTGCACCATCTAGCACTTAAAGCGGATGGTGGGGGAATGGATGATGGGCCCGATCAAGATCCCATGGTTCCGTCGTCCCGGGCCATCGTGGTCCCTGGTCTACTTAGTCAGAGGAGGTAGTCGACCCAACCTGACAGAAGGATCCTTGTCGGCAGCCATGGTTTACTTCGTCCAAGGGGACCTTATAGACCTGAGTTGGATGTTTGTCTAATGGGACAAATTTGAATCCACCTTAGCTTACAGAGGGCTTTATGCCCTATCGATCATATCCTATTGACTCATATCTCAAGGATTTGATGTCAATAAGGAACGTATTGGCTCTGGCCATAACCGGTATATCGTGGTGCCATTTGGCGGCAAAACCACTCGGTTCAGAGGGCCCCGGGTCGTCGTAACCGTTTATCCTGCGGTGTCATTTGGCGGCAGACCGCCGGTTAGAGGACACGTACCACGTCCTTACTGGCAGGAGATTGTTTTGAGAATGGATCCTAGTGATATTTTCGACTAGGCATTTGGCTCTTTTGTGAGCTGAAGTAAATTTTGATTTGTCCACCTCGGCAAACTGTTGCGGATGGTGGATAGATTTTGCTTTAAGCATTGATGGTTTGATTTCAGTTTTAAATATCTTAAAATTTGGAGTTTGTAGAGTTTAAATTCTGATAGACATTTGAGTGGAATTTGAAATATTTGTGGACCCCTTCGGTTGAGATCTTCGTTCAACATGGCCATTATCGGGGTGTTTGGGGTCATTTCTATTTGATGGAACCTTGTCGACTCGACCAAGCTTTTGATCGAGGATCTGATTTTGTAGGTTTCGTGCCTTTTGTTTAGTGAATTCTTTTGATTGTAGGCCTTGTAAGCCTAATATGAGTGTATTGAAACAAATACACTGGTCGCCACAACCGTGTATTTGTTTAAAGGTTCGAACCCTGTCGACTCCTATAGATCCGTATAGAATGATCGGGTTCGAACTTGGATTCACTTGTCAACCCGCGCAGCATCCCTAAACGTCACGTGTGTACCAATAACACGCTCGCCGGGGCCCATGCGGATGATTTTTATATACCCCTTTAGTGTACCTATGTGTAGACAATTTATAGTGTACGTGTAGGGGTATTTAGAAATATTTGTAGACGCCTTCTGTCTGCTTGTACAGAGGTTGCAAATCCGGTGGCGTTGCTTTGTAGATTGTAGACGCTTTCTGTCTGCTTTCATAGATGTTGCAGATCAAGTGGCGTTGCATTGTAGGCTGTAGACGCCTTCTGTCTGCTTGTATCAGTGTTGCAGATCCGGTGGCGTGGCGTTGTAGGTTGTAGACGCATTCTGTCTGCTTGTCTCAGTGTTGCAGATCCGGTGGCGTGTGTTTTGTAGATTGTGGACGCCTTCTGTCTACTTTCATAGATGTTGCAGATCCGGTGGCGTGCATTGTAGATTGTAGACGCCTTCTGTCTGCTTTTATAGATGTTGTAGATCCGATGGCGTCTTGGTGTTGACTCCCCCATTCTCATTCACCGGGGAAGGATTTTCTGGATTTTGGAGTCAAAGACTGCTGGTTTGGAAAGAACTCCTTTTAAGCTCTTCGGCGTAATTGACTTGTTATTTTCGGTGTTTGTGGGCATCCAGACTGCTTTTCTTCTAAAGTATAGAACTAAGAAGAAACTTTGGAACACCAGGAAGTTTGGTTCTAATTTGTTCAAACATTTCCTCCCTTTTGCCAGGGGGGTGTCCTTTTTCATACATCGGGCTGCCTTTGTACCCGGTGTACTTTTAGGTTTTGATCACCGCTGTAGTAGGTGATATATGTACTCGTGTCCACAGTGATTCGTTATACAATACACTGTTGTTATCCACAAGTGTTCATTTGCATTTGTAAGGGATCCGTACTTGTGCCCACAGTGATTCATCGTACTTGCAACACACTGTTGTTATCCACAAGTATTCATATGTATTTGTAGGGGACCGTTGTATCCACTACGAGCTTTTAGAAAGTGTTTGCAGGAGATTCATTCTTTCTGCATCATATCCACCCTTTCACCAATCTCAGCTGGTTTGATTGTATTTGTTTGACCTCGTAGGGATCGTCGTAGGAGATACTTGTACTTGTGCCCACAGTGGTTCGATGGTTCTTAGATATGCCCACTGTTGTTATCCACAAGTAGCTCGTATTTGTTTGTAGGAAGGCGGATCCTCCATCATTGGTCTCCAGCATCGCCTTCTTCAATCAGCAGGCAATTGTTGCATTGGAGATCATATTAGCATATACGGTAGCCATATATGAACTCTATGACTTGTTATTTTTGTTTGCCAGTACAGTTCATTTGACCTTGTAGGGATCGTCATAGGAGATACTTATGTCCACAGTGGTTCGTTGTGTATACGACATACACACTGTTGTTATCCACAAGTGACTTGTATTTGCTGGCGGAGGACCATTATATCCGCTACGACCTCCTGAATGTATTTGCAGCATACCTATTATTTCCGCATCTTATCCACCCTTTCACCAATCTCAGGTGGTTCGATTATACTTGTTTAGGCCGTAGGTTGAATGCGTAGGAGCCTTCTACTATAGATTGTGGGCATTTGCATTTGTCGTGTGTCGTACACTGAATACATCTATAGGAGGTGTTGTAGTTTGATTGGTGTCGAGTCTGACTCAAGTCTGAACCCTTCCAAGTCTGGTTTGAATCAACCTCGTGAGCTCAATGTGCAAGGTCATTTCTATGTCCCTTGTAGTCCAAATCTTGTTCAATTTTAGTGTCTTCCACACTTAGTAAATTTGAATTTGAGCCCGAGTGTATGTTCAAATGATTACTCAAAATCTTTTGAGATCTTGCAAGTTCAATTGAATAGTCATTTTCACTTGGACTTGATTTCCAATTTGATTTGATTTTAACTTTTAGAAATCACTTGAGTTTTGTTCTGATTCAGGTCCTGAGTCCACTGTTCATGTTCGGGTACAAGTTCTTTATAGTCCAAATCAGATCTTCATGCCAGTTCAAATGTTCAACTTGAGTCCACATCTTTGTTCTCTTAGAGTTTCAAAACAGGTCCGAGTAGAGTAATATTTCACCCGAAATTTCGGCAAGCTCCCGGCGTCTCCCCCGTTTAGGGGAAAACTACAAATGCCCCCAACAACATGGGTAGGCTCTGGAGTGGCCACGTTTGTTGCATGCTGACTTGACCTTGGAAGACTAAGTATTTGTTCTAGATGCACACTAGGGTTTTATTTAGTGATCTCAAGAATTTGCTTGATTTCACACTAAACTATTTCTATTGCTCTTTTAGATGTTACCGTAGATGTCTGATATCTTTGTAAATTGATCTAGTAGAAAAGCATAGTCTCAGGATCTCTATCATCTGGTTGTATCTTGATGAAATTGTAAATATTATTTTGATCTCGTATGAGCAGCCATGTCACTCAAATAAATATTAAAATTGCCCCATCTTTAGATATTTGTAATGTCATCCAGGGTGCTCATTCTGCGAGCTTCTAGAGGCCCAAGATTTTATCCTTCTGTCATGCTTTTCCTGCGGGACTTGTAGGTGTATCTGATTGTTTTGAATTGACTTGTTCAGAATTTTTGACGCCTTCTTGCCCTTCTGCTTCTAGCTTTGGCGGGCTATGTAAGGAGTAATTGTGACTAAACCCTTAGTTTGTATATAGGTCATGGCGAAAAGCATTCGGTCCAGAGCTTTGTTCATAGCGGACTTGTTGATGACGAAATCCACTTAGTTCAGCCTAAGGCTTTTTATGAACTCGGGATAGTTGTCTTCGGCCTTGCTGTGCTTGACGGATGTTGAAAAAAATTCCTCGATTCATCGCTTTGGGCTTTACGGATTTGTTGAAGATTTGCAGGTTT